TTTGATTAACTTCAAGATTCCCAGTAACACTGACACATTTTTATTTATAAAAAATAAAAAAAAATAAAACACTAATATGTATAAATTTAATTAATATTTTTATAAGATTATGCTTACTCATTATTCAAATTATTCAATAGGTATTCACAAGCTATATTTATTTTTTAGATTCAATTTTTGGATCATGATTTTATATAGCTACAGGTTTTCATGGATAACATTTAATTACACAACCATGTAATTACAACCAACAAAGACCATTGTAACTATAGATTATTCCTATATAATCTAACAAAAAAATTTAAAACACAAACAAATACATAAAATTGTATTGAAAATGACAACAATCAACAAAATTGAAATAACATCGAAAAAAGGAAAAAAATTACAAAAAGTAACACTTAAATTAGATATTAGATATGAATTTTAGATATTACTTTGTACTTATTTGAAACAAATTTATATCCTTTACAACGAATCTGAACAATAGAAAAAAGTTCGCAAATACAACATCCGAGCTCTAATAATAACTATTGATATCACAAGTCGAAGACTACTTAATAACTAATTAATTAATGTAATGATATAAACAAAATATAAATTACTTATTAATACTATTAGAATATTATAATTATTAGATTTTCCAATATTTATTATTAATCATTGAATTATATTCTGGTTAAGACAGCATAATAATCATATAGGCTAAATATTTTAAATGGTCTTACATATTGACCATTTCTTGTACATACATTCAGTTTTTTCTATTTTCTCAATTATTCACTTCCTTTCTCCTTCCTTGATTACTCTTCTCTGCACCTTGTGTTTCACACGTTTTTTCTGCAACAATGTCAGACATGTCATCCCAGTATAATGTACTGCAGCTTTTTTGTATGAATTTATTTTACTTGGTCTTCTTATAATTTTCCATTCTCCTATTTTATAATATATGACCTAAGCCTTCTTGACTACTACTCTTTATATTAATATATATTACAAATAAAGTGGCCACTAATCGATCATACATTAGTTATTGGTTATTTCGACTATTATATAATGTAACCGCGTTCCATTTTAATGACTATGTGCCTAAATCAATAATTGCCTTCTACATGGATTGCTAGTGTATGTCTACCGGGTACGGAAAACACGGACGTGTGATATTCGGCAACATAGTGCAATATTACTTCCATGGTGAACATATGTCTGCTCGTCATGTTGGGAATTTTGAAGTGGAGTTGCGGATGCGTCCTGAACATCGGCAACGCGTTCTTCAAGGTTCTGTCTCCTTTTTGACGATTTACCGGACCACCAGGTGGGTGAGGACAGAGAGAGAAAGAGAGAGAGAGAGAGAGAGAGAGAGAGAGAGAGTGGGAGAGTGAGCGTGAGAGAGAGAGTGAGAGAGTGAGCGTGAGAAAGAGGGTGCGCGCGGTAGTGACCGAGAGACACGAGAGAAAAATAATGAAAACATAAAACACCGTCATTCATCAGTCCTTATCCGAACATCGGTCGTGGTCGTTCAGGTGTTCCGCGTATCACCACAATATCATCACGGCACAATCGCACTCCCGCCATTACATTAAGGTGTACATTCTGTCGCTGCAGTGGTAGTCAATACAGGAGGTATCATACGTCCTTTGTACTTGGGACAGTAGTATTACCTGTCCGACGACTTGCATCAGTCGCGGATGTTTCGTGTCCTAACTTAACGCGCTATCGTTCGTCACAACAACACACTTAATAGTATAACAATATAATAATAATATTATTATTATGCCGTCGACCACGACTTTGAGCGTCTGTTATTTGATCGTAGCCATCGCCACCGTGGTGCTATGGCACTCGGCCGAATCATATCACGTGGACAAGTATTCGTTGCTCATGCCCAACGTGAGACCCAAAAAGGTAAGCTTCATAAGCGCATAATACAAATTAGTAATCGTCGTACGAATCGATTAGTTTTTAATGACTTCGCGTGTGGAGTGAGTGAATTTTCGCAATAAATTTGACTGTTCAATTATAATATACCTACCGAAAAATTTGCTTATATTGTAACTTATTGTGTCTTCATTTTAATAATATTGTTGAAAATCAATTATTAGCTATTGCAGGTAGGTACCTATAGTATCTATCGTCAGTGGCGTCAGTCAACAGGTCTGACTTCAGACGTGCACGTGATAATAATTACTACTTTATTATGTTCATGGAACTCAAGTCGCTGTAGTTTCTCGAGAACAATATGTACTTATATATACATATGAAATATATTATAATATTATCGGGTATAAATAACGATTGGAACAGATGATTTTGTACAATTTGTCGGCCATATAATATAGTCATATAAAAATCATATACACGTTGTATTATAGGTGATAATACTATACCCAGAGTATATTAGCCTTTAAATTTAATACCGCTGTCGGTTAAAAAGCTAGTTAATTTTCGTTTTTTTACGCGTTTCGCTGTGCCGTTTCTCCCCCCTTCCCCATATTTTTACGGTCAGCTTTTTATTGTAATTATTTTTTGTGGTTTCACGGTTACCAACTGTACGGGTCACGAAAACCTGCGAATGACCGCCGCGTGCCGTGTGTCGATTTTTCTAGAAACCAGTGGGCCTCAACATTTGATCTATCATAGGTGTGTCGCCACCGGCGAGACAGGTACTATGCGTTTTAAAAAAATAACTAACCCGCACCTTTTAAAATGTCCCTGTCTTTTTTAGACTCTTAGCGCGTTCTATTGTGAATTTAACTGTGCATACCTACAATTTTTAATCAAAAGTTTTAGAAATGGCGTCTTTTACACACCGCGATATTCTCAGTCAAAGTAAACAAGTAATTTACCGGGTACACGGTTTTTTAAAAAAATTATCCACTATGGATAATTTATCTGCCGATTTTTTTAAAAAAACTATGACTAACTAAAAAAATAATGGATTATGAATATTGCTATATGTACTAGAGATATTTCTCTTGAATGTTTTTTCACTTATGTTAGTTTCATCCATATATTGCCAAGATCTAAAATTTACCGTGTAATTATTTCCTTGAGATAATTTTGTTAATATATATTTAATAAAAATAGCAAATATTATTGCACATTTAACTGTTCTAGATAAACAAGTTAATGAAATCTGTGCAGAATGGACTAATGATACTTCTGAACAAGATTTAAAAATTATCATCAGAAACCTGATTAAAAAAAGATTTAGATATATAATTTAGGTATATTTTTTATAGTTTTTAATAAAATCCAAACGCAAATATCCACAAATAGGCGAATCATTAAAGTTTTGAAATCTTCTAGATGTTATTTTAAGATTATTTTCTCCTAAATATATTACTAATTCTTTTAGTGGATTAGCATTACCATCAAAATCAAAATAAATTTTTAAATTTTCATGTTTTGTCTTTCAAATCTAATGTTATGTATGAATGGGTTAACTATTGTCCAAATTGTTCTGGTCTGTCTATCCATATGATATCTATCATATGATCGCACTAATTTTTAATTCCGGTTGCGCATAAGATTATTACGACGGATAAGTTACTACCTTATCAAATCATCCAACAAACGACATGTACAAGTGTCACAATCATAAAACAGATATGATATTATACAACGTCATTTTTAGCTTACGGATATCACATCACGCCAATGGCTGAATTTTTTTTTGCAAATTTTTAATAACTTATATTGGGGTCGAACCTGCTACATATTGAATTATAATCGAAGTATTGACCACTAGACCAGAACACTAGGACATTAAAGTACAATGAAGTTAGTACATTTAAGTTGCATAAATTTAATATTATTTCAATATAAGGATAGGTTTTATAAATAATATATATTTAGGAAGGGGAAATTTTTGAAATGCTCTAACTTATTCAATAATAATCAGAAAAATATAAAACAAAGACTGATGTTATTTTTGAACTTATTTACACTGCATACTAAAAATCGATTTTTGGTTAGTCCAATTTTGAGAATTTTTGAGTTTGAATATCTCAGCGAGAAATCATCGTAGCTCAATTATGTTTTCATCTACTCCCACTAAACCTTAAACAATCTTTTAGAACGTGTTATCAAATTTTTTCTAAAGAGATTAGTAGGAGATTTTGGATTCTACTGGATCGATTGACTTCAAATTTTATATATACCTTTAAAATATAATCTTTGTTAACATATAGAAATTTGGTAAAATTCTAAAAGATAAAAATAAATTTATTATCAATACAAATTGTAATGTTATGCATGTTATTGGTAGATATATAATATTTTAATAACACAACAAATATTATTAAGTATATACGATTTGACCTAATTAATCATTATCGATTTGTATGCAACGTTTATATATTGCACGCGCGATGCGTAATATATTATATTATTTATTTTTTTTAAAGAGAATTGTTCCTAGCGCAATGTTTATGTGAAAATAGTTTTTAAATATTATTTAACTTTAAAAATAATAAATGCATATTTCTCTTGTTTTAATATAACCTTTTGGACTTTTTCAAACATTTAATTTTTTTTAATTAATTTTTTTGGATATTCTTTTTAATTATTTTTTAATTTATTTTTTTTAATATTATTTTTATTTTATGTATGTAAACAAAGAACAGGAAATAAAAACAATGTAAATAGAAATCAGAAATTAGTTTTTAAAGTGAAAAATATCTAGCTGTCTCAGAACAAACATTATACTACTGTCTCCTCTATTTCAAACAAAATTTTATCAAAAAAAGAAAGGAAAAATCCACCTCCTCCTCACCCTCTCAAAAAAACTCTCTTTTGGATTTAATACAAAATCACCCAAATGCAAAAACATATTCTACAATAATGCCGATGACATCAAAACAAAGAAGGTTATTGACATTCTTCAAAAACAGATGTGCTCAGAAGTCACTAAAGCCAGTTATATCAATCCTATTGGTCTTGCTCCTTTTGCTCAATCCAGCAATCCACAATAGTCCCTGAACTTTTTGAATAAATCTTGTATACTCTCGTTTTGCTTTTGAGTAGCCACAATACTTTCTCTGTTATTCTGTGTCAAATCTGTAACTGATTAATTTATGATCATTGAGGATAAAGTCTAAATAATTAAGTAGTCCAATCAACTCTGAAGTACCAAACTGAAACTGGTTAGTTCATGGTTTTTTGGTTACTCCAGTTTATGTTTGAGCGATATCCTTGTTAAAGGGATATACGACAATAGTGTATTCATAAATCATAGTTAATTGTAAATGAACCATAATAATATTATGTAGATGTAGTGTAAATTATTGTTATATAGTAACGTTATTATTTACACTGGTTCTAGATGGATTTGTATTTGTGCACGCCTATTAGAATAGATCCCAATAAGTCCTACTTTATTGGTGAGTAAAAAGTATTATTAATAAATTAATTTAATTAAACTAATAATAGATAATTAAGTATCTTAGGTACCTATACTATATTCAGGATAATAAAATTGAACCACTAGTACTACGAAAATGTATTACATACCACTCCACATTAGACCACTTAAGGGCCTGCATACGTGAAATAGATTCAATCTTATTTTAAATTGAATATACTATTAAGAATTCTAGTTAATAATTAATAGATAAATAGATAAATATATTAATAGTTTATTAATTATTACCTAGTCTTTAAAGAAGAAGTCTAGAATTCTAGACTCAAGACTATTGGTACTTACTATTTTTTTATTGCTTTCATCAAAAATTATTTTTAATAACATCGTCTAAATATTCCTTGTCCCATACCCCACGACTACTCTCCTGTTCTATATAAGCTGGGCCTCCCGAGCTTAGCAGATCGTAAATAGATAAATAACATTTCGTTCCTTTCAAATCTCCTTATTGGCAAAATAGATATTTTCTTCTTCGTCAATTTTAAAGTCTCACCTCGTCGCACCCGCTTCCATGCTCCATTTAACATTCCCGATTTGTCTACTAGTTTCCTTCAAAACTCTCCCTTGAAACGTCTAATGAGAACTGCAAACAAAGACCCACCCTTTCAATTATAAAACACAAAAAGGAAAATGTTAAGCAATGTAGAAATAGCAATAGTCATAGGAATAACAATAGTAATAGAGTTAAATATAAGTTATCACTAAAAATGCATAGGTTTATTAAAAGTAAAATATATGTTAGATATAAGAACATTCAATGTAAACAGGGCTTGTCCCGTATCTTATAATGAAAAATAAAAACATATAATTTGTGAACTTAATAAGTAATGGAAAATTTTTTATTATGAATAGGTAATAAATAATAATAATAATAATATATTCCTATACTTACTTAGATACAATTTTATTTGTTTTAAAATATTTATTTTATTATCAACTAATTTCAATGAATATTACCTACTTAATTATTTATAAGTAATTCCAATAGTCCAGTAGAAATATAGTATGTTGTTTATTACTTAAAATTGTGCAATCTTAAAAACAAATATTTTAAGTACCTTCTCTGTTAGTTGTTTTATACAACAAAATTGTATGTATTATTTTAGTTACATTCGAACCAAAAGCATATGGTCATACAGTACACCATATGTTACTCTATGGGTGTTCGGAACCTGGAAGTCCTGAACCCGTCTGGTAAACATCTTTTATACTTTTTCAAACAAATTTTTAGTTATTTTGATATAAAATTTTGTATTATTTTATTTTAAGGAATTGTGAAGAAATGTATTCATCAAGTAATGATCACAATTCTTATATGCATACCAACCCATGCAAATCTGGATCAAATGTTAGTATATAATATTTAGATTTAAATTTAATGAAATCTACTAATTTAACACACTGTTTATAATATCTTCTTTAAATATCTAATGCGTTTTTTCCAGATATTATATTCTTGGGCTCGTGATGCACCTACATTAAAACTTCCAAATGGTGTTGGTTTTAAAGTTGGACTTGGTACACAAAACAACTATTTAGTACTACAGGTTCACTATCACAGAATATTTCAAGGCTAGTATTACATTTACAAATCTATTTAACTTCACAAATATTGATGTAATATAGTATCTACTCTATATTTTTTATTTTACTTAACAGAAGGTGAAACGGATAACTCTGGGATTTTTTTACATTACACTGAAAAACAGTAAGATTTAATACCTATTTTATAACTGCTCACTTCTATTAATATATTACAGTGTAATAAATTGATATATTTAGTCAAAATGGCGTCATGGACTTATTTTATTGCCATTATGGTAAACAATAAAATTATCTTCTACCCCACAACACCACAAATATGTGTTTTTATATATTATATTTATTATAATGTATATTTTATAAGTACTTAAAGAATATCCACCTTACTAGATCATTATTATCTTTATCATTCATAAACTGTGGGACTTGTATATGATTTACAAATGATTTTGTGTTGCCACCAAGTAACTGAATGTATTATAATTATTATAATTTACTATAAATATATACTTATTATTTATTAATATTTTTTTAAGAAAATGAATTACTGTTGTAATCATATTTGATCATTAAATTTTATTATAGATTAGAAAAACAAGCTGGAGTATACTTACTCGCTACTGATGGAATAATCCCTCCCAATTCATTCGAGAATTTAGAAACATCTTGTCCATTGTTGGAAACTGGAAAAGTAATTCACCCATTTGCTTACAGAGTTCATACTCATCAACTTGGTACAGATAAATTATTTGTAGAAATATTACATGAAAACTATTTATTAATAAACTATTGTTCTGTTTAATAGGTAAAGTTGTAGCAGGTTACAGAGTGAAAACTTCTAGTAATGGAGTACAAAAATGGGATTTGCTAGGAAAACGGGATCCTTTAACTCCACAAATGTTTTACCCTATAGAGAAAAATCTTACTGTCAATTATGGAGATTTATTGGTGAGCAGATTTTGATAAATTATCAATGTTTTATTGATTTAAATTTTAAATACATTAACATTAATCGTTTTTTTAGTGAATAGGTATATATTATTATTATTAACATATTACGCATTTTATAACTTTGATGTTAAAAATTATAAAATTAAATATAATATAAATTTATGATCATATAATTTTTCCTAATAATATCGGTTAGTAATTTTAATATATTTCTTAAAAATAATTATGGAAACTGTTAGACATTTGTAGTTATTGATTTTTAGGCTGCCAGATGCACAATGGAAAGTAGAAGAGACACCATTACGAAAATTGGGTAAGATGATCAACATAATAATAATAATTAATTTGTAATGTACCTTCTATTGTCTAGTCTTCGTGATTAAACTTAAAAACTATTATTTTTGTTTACAGTCAAACAAGTAACGACGAAATGTGCAACTTTTATGTTATGTACTGGGTAGAAGGCACAGAACCTCTGGAACAACAAGTTTGTGTATCAGAAGGATCTCCGCGATACTACTGGAAAAACGATCCAAATTTGAGTAATATACCAGATGAAGAAGCGTCAATTTTATAATCTGAGTAACCCAATAAACAAATAACCTTTATTAATCATTTTATATTAAATCTTCATAAAATAATATTCAACATTTATTTAAGCCTTTAATGTTCATTAAATTTTATTTTACCAAATGTTCATAAACCTTCTAACTAACGTAGTATGGATCAAAGTTAAAGTTTTAACTAAACATAGTATTATGACATTAAATTAGATATTGTATTGAAATATGAAATTTAACATTGCATTGTAATATGAAATTTAAAATTTTACTGTACATTAAATTTATTATTTAAAATAAAATTATATATTTAGTTCAATTTAGTTCAATAGCTATGAATTTTTAGTTTGCATCTACCATGGCCAGTAAAATAACAGAATCTTTATAATTAAAGAATATCGAACCCAAATTACTTAGGCATTGGATTCTAACGTGTTCCATCAAGAATACAATTAGGAAAGTTCCACTTTTTATACAATTTATCAGCTTTAGTATTTAAGTCAACTACACTAGGCAAAAATAGTGTCATCAACTTTTGTTTTATAACTGCTAAAGTTTCTTTAACTATACTGCTGATATAGCTAAGATAAATACGAAAATCAAATGCCAAGGATTAAAAGGATTCTCCTGTTGCAAGATACCTAAAAAATATTTCAATAAGTTTTACAAAATATGTAAGGTTTATAATAAATAAATGAAAAATGTTTGACAATTTTATTTATTTATTTTTTTAAATTTAAAACTTACCTTAAAGAGAGTGCTAGTTTATTTGGAGATTTTGGTTCAAGTACACGAAATGTTGATTGTTTTGTAATTTCGTCATGGAAAAAAATTTCAAACTGAACTTAAAAAGGGGTACTACTTACGAAAAAGGCACCGGTCGCAATGTTTATGATTGAATTTTGTAAAATTAAATTATAGATTAAATAATGAATAATGATAAAATCTACTGCGTCTGATGCTACAGGGTTCTATCGCATCTAGACACCGGGTCTGGACGCTGCAGGAAAACCGTACCCTAAGTTCTGATGTACTACTAGTGATGTGATGTGTGTGTGGGTGTGTACTTAACACTATGGGACAAAATATTTAACGCTAAATAAATGGTAACTCGAAAGAAAATAAGTATCACGGTATGTATTGCCATTAGGTATTATAGAAATAATCACTGATTGTCATTATTGTATATAATATTATATAGTTATCGGTTTGCGATTAACTTGAACGTCATCGCCGTTGCCAGTACCTTATTTTATTTGTGTGTTCGTCGGTCAGGCAGTAGACTTTCTATCCTCGGTTTGAGAATGTCCTAATTCTAATATAATAAATGCGTTTACATTTGTAATATGGTGTAATATTTCTTTAAAACCCTGAAGTTTTCAGAAATGGGATATGCGACAAAATATACATTGTTTTGTGAAATTTTAAATATATTGGTAGTTAAGAACGTTGGTGTAGACCAAATATAAAATTGGTCATGCAACGAGGTCTCAAACGGCAATGTCTGGAAATAAGACGGAGGATTTGTTGTCATGTCAATATGCTGATCTAACACTAGTCGTGTGCTGAGGTTCACAATATTACACTATTTATGAATAAAATAAAAAATATCAGATAAAACGAACTCATTAAAAATTAGGTAAAATATATGTCGTATATTATTCGAACAGTCTATAGTTTGGGTTTGTCGTCTTTGGCCGGAGGCTTGCTGACCACAGCCAAGTAACAGAACGCACCGCACTTAGGCACGGGCTGCGCTGCTAGAAAAGCTCCGCCGTCCGGAGATTGTCTGTACAACATTGGCTTATCCGTATCCTCGCTGGACAAGTCACATTCCCACGAGCCACCGCCTTTATTTCCGTCCTTTCCTGCGCTTGGTGCGTTGCCCGTCAACAGGTATGTGAGATTACTTAACGGCGCTGACGGCGGGTACTGATTGAACGGCGCTCGGAGCTCACCCTCCTGAACGGACGTAACCAGGTGGTACATGAAGTCGTTTCGAAGCTTCATCTCGGCTATCGATTTGTTGCTGGCCAAAAGTTTATGTACCCAACGGTTAACGCTGTGTTTGTCTGTAAATTAGACAAAAATAGTTTACTAGAGGATAACAGAGATACGTTGCCGTTTGATTCAATAAAAAAGGCTGTATCTNCTTTTAGCGTTTTTTGCTGAATCATGTTACTCCTACAAATGTATACACTGGTAATTGAAATTTTGAAAAAATATATCTTTTATTTAATATTTAGATACGGATACGTAATTGCACAACGTTATTATATTACGTATACATCTACGATTAATGCAGATTTTTAACAACGTCTAGAGCGTCCAGGTTTAATAATTTTAATATGTTCAACTTATGTATTTTACCAGAAATATTAGTCCAATCGAAAAATAACAAGAGATCGATTATATTCCTTTTAATATATAGCCAACGACAGAAAAATATTGTTTTTAATGTCTAAAGTATTTTTTTAAAAAAATTGGAAAAACCAAAAAAGGCGGAATATACAATTTTCTTTTCGAATTATTCCAAATTTTAATCTAGTTTCTGAGTAGGTCACTTGTTTTTGATTTTCTCTGTAGCTTTGTTATAATTAAGAAAATACAAAAAAAAAAAACGTAAAATTAAAATTGACAAAAGTTTGTAATTTGTATCTTAGTAGATTAATTGTTAAAGAAAATTTAAAAAAAAAGACGTCCTAGGATAATGGGGATGAGTGAAGTCACTGTTAGATAATTTAATGTATACCTGTAAGCAATGATAAACCATTGCTTACGAAAAAATGATTTTGAGCAGAGTTCAGTTGATAATAAGGTTTTGTCAACAATTTTATGTCATTTTATAGTAAAACTAATTAAATAGGCTTTATACAATTTCTCTAATAATATTTGTATAAATGTTGTAACGATTTTTACAGTTTTCCTACGTTTTTCCGTTTTTTCTCCGTTATTTTCGGTATTTCTAATTTGATAAGAAAGCTCCTAAAAAAATCAAAAATGACGTCTCTAAATTACCTCCCTGATAAAATTTACTTTTAGAAACATAGCTATCATTATAATTCGGGACAAAATTACTGGTAGAAAAGTTGTGCACAGGAAAAAAAATCATAATATTTAAATAATATATTTCGTATATATTCCCGTTTTTGTTTCCAGTTTTTCACACTCGATGAGCTTTACAGTAAGATCAACTTAAAAACAAATTAATTTGAAGTATCTTTGTTTTCAGTGAATGAAAATCTAATTTTAAGAAAAGAAACTTAATGTTATTATGGCATACTAAATTCTTCAGTACCCTGATTTGTAGATATTTATATTAAAACAGAATAATAAAATATTTTAATAGCTTTAAAAAAAATTCGAAAAAGTGAAATTCGACCGTTTTAATTGTGGCAGGCAGCGCGTATTGTGTAAAATGATAATAAGATCGGCTGTGACAATACTAGCATGAGATAATTAATTGTACTCACCTTGAGCCGATTTCAGATTCTGCATGGAAGTCTTCAGTAGGAATAGATTGTAATTCATATCATAGTTTAGTTCGGCCGAGTCTCCCGATTTCGGTGGCATTTTATTACTTGTATACGATTTCTACTTGTTTTAAAAAGTATGTAAGATATTATTATTTTAAATTCTATGTATTTCGCTTGAAATTCGTTATTAATATTTTTCTTTCCGGTTGTTTTTAAACTGTTTAAAATGTTTTTTTGTATTTCTTATGGGTCGCCCCGGACGTCAAGCCCTTATGTTTTCGAAATGTTTACGAGTTTATACGAGCCAATCAATTTACACGAATTTTGTTTGATTTAAACCAGTGTTTCCCATGTTTGGGTGGCGGATAATTTTGAATGGGACATCAAAAAATTAAAACGTTAATATTTAGAGACATTTTAGACTACATTTATAAAAAATACATTTTAAAATTAGTAAAATGACTGAAATATTTTTCGTAAATTATTTTTTTTTAACAAACGAGTATATATTCATATTTTAAACAATGTTGTTTTATAAACTGCATTAATATTTAATTGTAAACAAGTAGTTATGTGATAATTGTTTCTTTAACACTAGTATAAAAGAGGAGAGTTTTATTTAATACATGTCATATAAAAATGCCCAAATTCGATTAAATTAATACATCTTGCTAATCCAGAAGTTACTTCATCTTACGTACTTTTAGCATGATGGTTATTACAGTACCTAGCCTGGACAAAATAACTAATATTTAATTTAATTAATAAAGTATAAAATGATCTATTTTTAATTCACTTTAATATTAAAAACATTATATATGTTTTGTTTAATATTGTACCGGTTTTCCCGTTTTTCCTGAGTTTTTTACGGTTTTTCACATGTGCTGGGAAACTCTTCGATAAATCGAAAAATGACCACTTAATACTTAATACTTTCCCAGACCGATTTCCTTTCAGAATAAGTCGTGTTATTGTAAATCAAAGCAATATTGTTGGTATAAAAGTTGTTTACAAAAAAAAAAATCGTAATATTTTACAAATTTTTTCGTTTGTTTTTTTCAGTTTTTACGATTATTCCCACTTATTAGGAACTTTATTAGAAAATCTTTTACAAATAAATGAATAACGCAGTATTCGGTTAGTTATTATTATTATTAAAACCATTATGTTATTATATTCTTATAATTATAATCATGGTAAGATGACGGAATCTATGAGACGGAGGATTGGCATTGAGCTGGTATCAAGTGAAAAGAGAGCACAAAAATTGATAAATTGAACAACATTTAAACACTGTACGACATACAACGAGAATCTATGTGCCGTATCGCTGAAGAACAAAATAATTAATTTCTTTAAATCACTTTACATAAGTATGTGCCTTATTTAACATTTTTTTTTTTATTTAAGATATAATTATGTTGTTTTTTTTCATATGTTTACAGAATTTGCTGTGCTAGACATCTCTAAGACCAAAATATATGATTACTATTACAATGTTATGAGAAAGCATTTCAAAAAATTAATCAATTTGATGTATACTGACACAGGTAAATTATTACTAATTTTTTTCTTATATGTATAATATTGTTTTTCAGAATCGTTGGTGTATTAAATCAAGACACAATACTTTTATGCGACTTACTGAGTAATCCAGAGCCGTTGGAGTGTACGAACACTGCACACCTACCCAGAAACAACCCGTGTTATGTCGTGGAAAAAAAGAAAATTGCTGGTCTTTCTTCTGAAGAGACAGATGGGAAAATTATAACCGAGTTTTGTGCGCTGTGAGCAAAATCGT